TGGGACAAAAAGATTAGAAAGGTGCAAAACTAGTTCGGTGATGCTCTCAACACCATCATGGCACAGACGCCCAAGATAGTAAACTACCTGATAAGACGCGCTGACACACCTTTTGTTGTTGACATAGTCAATTGTCCCTTACCCTCGAAGTTTAAGATGCCTACCATCGAGATCTTCAATGGTACCAAAGACCCCCTTGACCATCTGGACACCTACAAATCCCTCATGCCACTACATAATATGCTTGAGGAGATTATGTGTAGAGCCTTCCCTACCACTCTCAAGGGGTCTGCATGCCAATGATTTGCAAAGATCAAGCCTTCCTCAATTCACTCTTTCATAGAGTTGAGTAGATCCTTCGTCTCCCACTTCATTGGGGGACACCGATATCAAAAACTAGTGACCTACTTGCTCACCATCAAGCAGGACAGGGATGAAAGTCTTAGAGACTACCTTGCCCACTTCAACGAGGTGGCTTTCCAGATAAAGGAGCCAAATGACAAGGTAGTTGGCCGCCTTTATCGCTGGCCTTCGCACCTCCAGTTTTATGTCTGAGTTGTTGTCAAGGGTAGAAAAGTATATGAACACTGAGGATGTCACCAAGGCCAAACTAGGTGAGTCCTCCCATGGGGAAAAAAGAGGAATGATAGCCGCGAAGATAGGAGAGAAATAGAGAACAAGAGGAATAGGACAGAAAAAAACTCGGCCAAGGACCGCCTTGGTCCCTCACCTCTGAGAGAATAACAAGCCTTCACGCCGCTCAATGCTTCCGTGGAGTATATCCTGTTCCAAATACAAGATGATCCCACACTCCATTGGCCCGAAAAAATGAAGTCCACCCCAAACCGCAGAAATCCCAATAGGTACTACCGTTTCCACTGTTACCACGGCTATGATACGGACGACTACTTTGATCTTAAAAGGCAAATCAAGAAAATCATACAATGTGGCCATTTGAGGCAATACATTGTTGGCAGAGGACAAGCTCTGCCACCTGATCGAGACCAGGATGACAGAGAGTGTCAATAACCCCTCAGAGAAATCCAAACGATCTCCTGAGGGCTAGGAGGAGAAGGTGATTCGAACTCTGCCAAGAAAGCCTCAACTCACCTATGGGACACCGAGCACCTGAAGATTTATCTATCACTTATAGTTTTAGCTTATTTATTCTATTATTTATTATCTTATGGAATAAAATTATGCGAAGATTATTGTGTATAGAATTGTTTTGTTTTCCTAAAATTTACAAACAACTTATGAAAGTCAGAACATGGATTAACAACAAGGTGTAGACAAAAGGACAACAATCGTCATACTCCCGGCGATCAGTCACTGCTCCGTAAGCCACAACCACTATAATCAAGGCTCTCCCCATCACCAACTATTACTAGTGTCTCATAGGGGACGAAAGCCAGAGAAATCAACAGTGGTCCTCCCAGGCCAACACTTAGGTTGGCATCACTTAGGTCGATAACGCCCTAGGCTGGCTATCGCCCATCTTTTGCACGTCACCCAAAAAGGACCTCTCATCTCCTAGCACCAGTGCCCCTCGGCGTCCATGTCCAATGGTGCCCATCACCCCTCGGCGTTTGTACCCAGCGGCGTCTATGTCTAGAGCTCCTCGGCGTCCGCACCCAATAGGAGGCACTCATCACCAGACACCCAGCCTCGGGCACTCTACTCATCTCCTCGGCGCCTTCCTTATCTCCTTCATATTTTTGGAGTAAGCCTCTGCCCTTGTAGCTCTCTCAAGTGTTATTCAAAGGTCAGCCTCAATTTCTCAGCGACATCCTCTCGTGCCTGCCGCTTGAGCCCTAACAGCTTCACGGCATCCTCTCGTGCTTGTCGCTCAAGCACCAAATACTCTTCAGCAACTTATATCTCCAGCTTCGTACTCTTTCGCGAGTCGCAAAGAAACTCGGCCTTATCTAGCCTCTGTTATGGTAGCCATATGACTCTGCTCTCGCACATGTAGTCACCTTGTAAGGCTCTGCTACGACAGACATATGACTCTGCTCTTGCACATGTAGTCACCTTGTAAGTCTTTGCTACGACAGTCATCTCTCCAGACTATACGTAGCTTGGCCTATGTGTGACAATCCTTTGCCATGACAACCATCCCACGAGACTATGCGTAGCTCGGCCTCAGTTCATGCGATCCTCTCACAGGATGTCCACATCTCTGACTTTGCTCTCATGTAAATAGTCTACCTCTCTCTCTCCAAGTAATCATGATAGATATTTTAATGTCAAGATAACATTGTTTTTGTCAGGCACACTTTTGAAGCTCAGGTTGTCCGCAATCGAGCCATTACTAGAAGCAAGGTGAAGCTTCGATCCCCATAAGAAACACATCGGAGTCTCAACTCCTACAACAGTGTAATAGTTAGCTCTGGTATACACAGAAGTCCCAGTCTGAGAAAGAGTGAGGGCGCCATAGGGTCCCATCTCCCAAGAGGCAACCTAGGCCCCTATAATTAGAGACAAGGTCAGTTACTGACTAAAGCACTAGAGAAGTACCGCCCATAGCAAGACTCAAAGCGTCCCCCAAACACAGTAGCGCCTAAGGTATCCTGGCGTTGCCCAAGGCATCCCCCAAACACAGTAGCGCCCAAGGCCTCTTGGCATCGCCCAAGGAGCTGCCTAACCTCTAGCGCTTGCCCAGCCTCTTAGTGTTGTCCAAGGTGCCTTACCAACTTCTTGGCATCGCCCAAGGAACATGTCAGCCTCTAAGTGGCACCCACAACAGTCTCCACTGTCGCCCAAAAAAAAAAAAGAAAAGGAGAAGAGGCAGCGCCCAAGGAAGAAATCCAAAAAAAAAAAAAAACAAAAGATAGGATGGCCAGCGCCAAAGGAAGAAAGAAAAAAAAAATAAGGAAGAGAAGGCGGCGCCCAAGCAGGGCAAAGAAAGAAAGAAAAAAGAAAAAAAAAGAGGAAGAGGAGGCAGCGCCCAGGCCAAGAAAGAAAGAAGAAAGAAAAAACCAAAAAAAAAAAAGGGAGAGAGGGGAAAAGGGGCAGCGCCCAACCAAGCGAAGAAAAAAAGAAGAAAAGAAAAAAAAAAGAAGAGGAGGAGCAAAAAGGAGGAGCCTAGGCCAAGAAAAAAGAAGAAAAGAAAAAAAAAAGAAAAGGAGCAAAAAGGTGGCACCCAGGCCAAGGAAAAAGAAGAAAAAAAAAAAGATAAGCAAAAAGGCAGCGCCCAACCAGGCCAAAAAAAAAAAAAAGCAAGCCCAATTAGGGGCAAATTCAGTGAATCCCCGAGGATGAAAAGATACTGTGGGAAGCAAGAAAAATTCTGACTCACCCAGATGGAATGAATCACATGCCCTCGACTCCTTCCTCTCGAAAAAAGTCAGAGGCTCGAGGCATGAGGGGCAAATGATAAGTTTAGAATTGACTGGGCCAAGCCCAATTAAAATAAATCGAGAAAGCCCAATCAAAGCTGGGTCAACCCATCAAAAGGAGTCTTAATCACTAGAGTCTAAAAAGAATTGGACTTGCTCACAAATCAAGGAGTCAAGTGGATCCCAAGCCAAAGGCCAACGCCCAAGTGAGAGCCGAAGGGGCGCCGCCTAGGGGTCACCCAAGTCAGGCGCCGCCCAAGGTTGCCCCTTAGCCCCCTCCTTTGTCCTCTTCACTCCAATGCAAATCTAAGATTAATCCAAGTCAAGCCCCAAGTCCAGGTCCAAGCTCACGATCAGGATCATCCTCTGATGGAATAGGGATACGAGCGAGAGAATATCGGGATACGAAGATCTAATTCTACTAAGATTGTACTTACTAAAATTGTGGAAGACCTTTCACTCACGTCACCGCCTTACTCTAACTATATAATGTACACCCTCTCAGTATTGAGGGCACACCTCCAAAACCTCTACACCTTCCCTTATACACATTCCTCTCTCATTCTGTAAGCATTGTAATACTCCTGGAGAATACTCTCTTCGGCGATTTCACCAATTAGTAAAAGATTCAGGCCACCACTGCCGTTTACGAGAGTGTAGGAGGTCACCCGGACAAAACTACTATAAATCTCTGTGTTAGCTCTTTATCTACTACTTTACCATGAATTATTTGTTTATTGTCCATTGATTGCCTCTGTTCATATTCTTGACTGTTGATCTTCCATGAGACCAATTTGTTCATCATTAGATTCAATTAAGTGAAAATAGAATATTAGCGTTAAATTTTTTATTCACAGTGTATGTGGGTCAACATGAATACGAATACGAATACAAACATGAACACGACATGAAAATAAACAAGTCAACTCGTAACTCGACACGACACAATTAGTTAAATAAGTTGACATAGATTTGACTAATGTTCGACACAAACCCGTAATGACTCAATATGAATCTGACACGACACGACCCGATTGTCACTCCTAATCTTAGCCGGCCAAAAAAAATAATAATAATTTTTATTTTCTATCCATCCTACCAAATACAAAGGAAAGAAATTGTATCATTCCTATTTTTCTTCTTTGAAGGATAAAAAGTGTATCACTTTTACTTTTCATCTTTTCTACCAAACGGAGCATTAAAAAGTTTGAGTATAATTTTCCTTAAATGTTTTCGTTAAAAACCCGTTTGAGATCTACTTGTATGAGAAACGCGCTAAGCTTGGATACATTTTGTCACTCCATCAATTTGTCGAGGTTTGGTTGAATGCAACTCCACAAGTTAACTGACATTCCGCTAATGATCAGCCCAATAAAAGTTCGTACCAAAGCTTCTAAAGAGTGTCCCACGCAGCTACGGCCACTTAAATCTGTGGAAAAAATGATTGCCCTTATGCTTAATACAGCCACTCAAACGGCAGTTGGTGCAACTTATAATGGCTCTCAGCAACCGGTGTTAGGCCCGGTATCGGTATTTCAGCCAGGCTTATACCTGTCTCTGTAATTCAGTTCTGTTTAAAAGAAGAGCCATTTCAAACACTGAATCTTTCAAGAAACATCCGATCCTGAATAGCATGGATTTGCCAACCAATCAACCCATGAAATTCAAGAAGAAAAAAAGAAACGAGCTTTATTTTGCATTTCCTTAGCTTCATACTGCAAACAAAAGATGTGAACCTCCAAATACTATGTATAAACTATAAACACAACACATACAATGAATTCATGTCGATACAATTTACTTATACATGATTCAGCAAACCAGGTGAAAGGACTTTCAAGCACAATTCAGGTACTGCACTTTTGTTTCTCAAAATATTTAGTGTCATAAAACATTACGATATAAGTGCACAGGGCATAAATACTCAGGCCCCACGACCCATGGACTGCTCCACTGGAGGAATCATAACCAAAACTGGTTGGGCACTAAAACCAGGATGAAGAAGCCTACGACGGACCTCGCGACCTTCCTGACAAAGGGCACATTGATGGCAGAAGAAATGAGTTGCACAATCACAAACTGACTCGCACTGCTCACGCTGCATCTCATCCTCTATGAAGCTTGTACAACACCCACATGATCTGGTAAATGCCTCACAGCTTCCCTGTTCATACCAACAAAAACAATGCAAACAGAATTCAAAGACCTCAACAGATTCCTTCATATAGAGTGACAAAAAAGGAGATCGGCCTACTATAATAGGAAAATCTTAAGAAGAACAAATGTTGGGATTCATTCATCAGATGATAGAAAGAAAGCTGGTTGATAGTTAATCAAGTAGAGCCCCCTTGACAAGGCTTCATCCCGGAAAAAGATTTGAAAACAAAAACTATCCTAGTAACCAAAGAGTTCAACATCCAGTTGAGCTAGAGTGATCAAATGAAGAGATGGCTTGCAAAAAAGGTGCAGAAAACAGTAATTCAGTGCAAATATATAGCCCATGCTTCATGAAAATATCTTTAATGGGCTACATAGTTGTAGAGCATCATGAAACATTGTATTTTTGTAATCTTCCTTATTTTCTTGATGGGTTGGGGGGAGAGGTGCAATAAAGAGGCATCGGGTTAAAATATGTTTTAGCTGCTTAGTTATAGAGCACCATGAGACATTGGTTTTTTTTCCATATCTTTGTATTTTCTTCATGGAAGGGCTAATTGCCGAAGATTTTTTGGATTTAATTAGCCTAGGACTGATCTCTGATTTAAGGCAATAATGGAGTAATTCCACCGACAAACAAAAAACAACTCTTCAAAACAAGAGCTGTTTAAAATTAAATCAACCGAATGCAAACTTCAAAAAAACTGCGAATGACCAAAATGCTTTAGGAAGTAGGTTGCTGCATACTTCCATATAGTTTCATCTAATATAAAATCAGATGGCACACGCCTCCGTTGGACAAAAGTCGTTTTACATAAAGTGGGATAGAGACTACCATCAACAACATGAAAGGATGCGACTTGCCTCTAGGTTGAACTTCTGGCGAATAGCTGTACGACTAGGATATGAAAAACAGGGAACCATGCAGTTTGAGCCAAAAAGGGAATTGCTGATCAGGGATAGAGCAGAGTAAAGCAAGCAGTGATTTGCAAAAGTTCCAGGACCAGAACCAAGTCTCTCAACATTGCTTCCATAAAGCACACAAGGGGCCACACTTCCAAGAAGACCTGCCAATGTCATGATTCTCAGAATATTCTAAACAAAAGACTGAATAAATATATGTTCATACATTTCAAAATGGATCAATTTACTAAATCCATCTTGAATCATCTGTGTTCAATGGATCAAATAAAAGACCACTTGTGATGCCAACTAAATATACACTTAATCATTGCTTCATATAAAAAAACCACATAATTGATAATTTTGACTACAATACAGGTCCAATTGGACGTATATTTCCCACAATCATCATTATTGAACTTATTTCTATCAAGGTTCTCAGATCAAAGCAATCAATCAGATCCAAAAAAACAAACATAACCTTCCACAGCTCGCACTCCTCAATGCCTGCTCACCAACTTTTTATGAATCGGAAAATGACTTATGTGATCAGTAGCTATTCCATGTGCCATTACTAAATTATAGAATTTCCCTCTTCCACCATAAAGCTTTCATAGTTATAACAATCAATTGAAGAATTATGTTTGTTCCTCATTCATAATTCCGCAAAAGAGAACCTCACAATAACATAACAACCCTGAATCCCTCATTATGGTAGTTCACCATGGTTTGATCCCATTTACACACATATACCCAGAAGTGGACAGATGATGCTCACGTAATCCCAAATTTTCGGCAAATTTTTTCATACAGTTCAATCTCAATCATACCAGAAAAACTAACAATTAATGTATATATCTCAGAAATCGGATCTAATCAAGCCAAAAAATATTCTAACCAAATGAAGGAAAACGAAATCTATTGCATAAAATCATATATTTCAAGAAAAAACAAAAAACAATTTCGTTCTTCAGAATACTCACAGACTTCAAGATCGCTACTGCAGAACTCATCATTTCTTCCAAGGCAAGCGCAGAGGCTCGAATCCCAGTGGGCCCTACGCATCGGCTCACCCACCACGCTTCCGTGATCCAACGGCAAACCATCGGCGGTCCACCCGTAGGCAGCTCCACCAAGTATCTGCGGTGACAATTGCTTCACCAGCGCCGCAGCCGGCGGAGGTGCAGTGGTGGTGGTGGTTTTGGCGGATTTCTTTTCATCGTTGACCTCTGTTTGCTTTGCTAAAAGCGGTTTTGATTCCTCAGAATTGGCCATTGAGATGGAAAAATGAAGGAATATTGGAAGAAAGGTAGAGAGAGAATTGGAAGAAAGGTGGAGAGAGAATTGGAATCGGAAGATGTAATTGCTAGGAACTGAGGGTGAGGTTTCAGGTGAGGACATAACAAGAGAAAGGTAGAATTATACCCAGTCCCAGTCCCCGTCCCCGTAACATTTTTCACTTAATTATTTAGATATTTTAATATTTAAAATATTACACACAAACTTTTAAAATTTGTATACAAAATCTGTATACACATAACAATTAGACTTCTGCTGTAAATATATTTATTAATAAATTATACTTAATCCCCCTTAAAGTTTGTTCACATATAATACTTAGACTTTTTAAATTTAAGATGTTATATTTAGATAAAAAATATTCCAATTAGAGATAGAATATCAAATATTTTAAATTTTATAACCAAAATTTATGTTTTATTGTATCATTTATTGAAATAAAATTAAAAATAAAAATTTAATTTTTTCTTAAAAAATTATAATTAATATACAATTATACTTTCTATTGGAGTAAAACTAAAAAAATCAAACAAGGGGTCTAAGTCATTTTTAATAGAACATGAATTTTATAACTAAAATTCATGTTCTATTATATCATTTATTTAAATAAAATTAACAATAAAAATCTAATTTTTTTTAACAAAAATATAGTTAGTATACAATTATAATATCTATTAGAATAAAATTAAAAAAAATTAAATAAGAGGTCAAATTATAAGGAACACAATATCTTTTAGCTTCAATTGAGATAGTTTGGTATTTTAATTTGGTCATTTAAACGACCAGATTAAATTTCAATAGATAATATAATTGTATATTAGTTACGATTTTTAAGAAAAATTTGAATTTTTGAATTTGAATTTTTTATTTTATTTCTATAAATGATACAATAAAAAATGAATTTTAATTGTAAAATTTAAAATATTTAATATTCAATCTTTGATTGAAGTATTTTTTGTCTAAATATAACATTTTAAACTTAAGGGGTGTAAGTAATATATGTTTACAAACTTTATGGAGTCTGAATGTAATTTATTAATTGATATATTTACAGCAGGGGTCTAAATGTTACGTAAAAAAAAAAAAATGTGTTACGTGCGTATAAATTTTAAAAGGTCAGAGTATAATATTTCAAATGTCAGAGGTCTAGTGATTCAGTGATAAACTTTAATGGGTGTGAATATAATTCTTCCAAAGAGAAAGCGTTAAAGGTAAGCAAGCAATTCCACATATAGCTCCGCCAATCCAATGTGTACGGTATGAACTAGGTTATATGAAGCAAAGCATTTCTCTAAATACAATTGGTATAAGAATTTAGGGTGAATTGTACTTATACCCTAAAAAATTTAAATATTTTTATTTTACTCGATTAGATTTTTCACATTATATTGTATTATAATGTCTTCATTCTGTTAACTTCTGTTATCTATTATTTCAATGCCAATATAGTGATTTTTTACGTAATGAATAATAAAAATTAATGAAATGATTACATTATAACACTTCTGATAATGTAGTATAAAAAATTAATTTTTAAAAATACAAAGGGAGAATTTTTAAATATTTTGAGGTGCAAAGTGTGATTCCCCCAAGAATTTGAAATCAAATATTACATATATGAATGTGACGTGTCAATACCAAGTTAAAAGATGAAAGTTAAAAAGATTTTATTAAGTTAAATTAGTGTCAAAATTTTTTTATTTTATTTTGGCATTACCGTCAAAGGTATCAAACCAATTTATGCGTGTCTTGATTATCTTCTTATTTTGGTCAAAGACGGATCATTGATATTGAGATTAAGGAATTTACGAATGATACATTCGTCATGGATCAATCCTAAAAGAATTATTAAATTTTAAATTCAAGATGTGACAAAATGTCATCAAATAATTATTATCACCTTATGCTTATTGTCAATTTTTTGTCTACTTATGTTGGATGGAAATAGGATTGTACTTCTCAAATATTGTAGCAGCTCTACAATACACATTATGACTTGGTAAATGGTTTGCAAGCAAAACCTTTAGTTTAATTAACTCAAAACTCATATGTAAGGTCAAGAAAACCCTTATGCCTAAGTGTATATATTTATCCTTGGTCCAGAAAATGTAGCTATCAGCTTATCATGTTTTTAAATAAATACGAAATGGAAGTGTCACCCTATTATTTGACTATTTACATAGAAATGGCTAAAAGTCAAGAACCTAAGGTGGAAGGAAGCTTTACTATCCCCGGAAATCAAGGGCTTGTGGTGGAATTTGTTTTAATACATGTTCATTGGTTCATGAGATGGTCCACTCGAAAGTAACATGGACGGTAAATGCGGGTCTGGTGAAAGGGACCATTTAGCTAATTATGTCTAATCCTTGGAATAGTAGGAATTAGAGGTGTTCATAGGCCAGGTTACCAACATATTTCGATATCTTGTCCGAAAAAAATAAGTTTGAAATATGATAAATTTGATAATTGGTCAATCCGAACTCGAGCTCAATATCATTAAAAAGAGGGCTTGGGCCTGCCCCTAAACTCATTATTTAGTCCGAAATCCAACCAAAGAGCCACTTGCCCAACCCAACCCGCCCACATTTCATTTGAAAAAAGGTTAAATTGTTGAATTTGAAACTTTGAAATAAGTCCCATAATGTCAAAATTTGAAGTTTAAAAATTTAAATACTATAAATAATGTATTATTTTCTTTTTTCATGTATTAAGCATACACATTTAAAGGATAGAGTTATGCAAATGAAAGATAAGTGGGTAGATGTCAATCTACTTGGTATGTGTTCATTCTGTTGTGCTGTAGTTCCTTTTTTATTCATAAATAAAATTATTCATTATTTAATTTTTATCTATTTTTACTCTACTTTTAATTCAAAAATATAATTTACAAAATTATTCATTATTTTTAAATGAACTTGCAAATAAAAAAAGCCTGCTAGTAGTCCCACTCGTAGGCCCACCTAATAGGTGCGCAAGTAGCCTACTCATACACGAAGCCTGACTCAACGCAGTCCATAACTCACCTAGATAAGGGCTTAGGCCTACCCTACTCAGGCCCAGCCCAAAAAAACTTTGTGGCTTAGCCCGGTTCCAGGAGCACCACACCATACTTTATTCATGATGTGATTTTGAATTCTAAATCAAATTCAAAAAGGGGGGTTGGACATGCAGTGATTGCAAATATACATCAGTCTGAATAACACGTTGCGATTTAATTCTTGAAATTAGATGCCTTTTATTTATTTCTCGCAGATTTGACTATAGGCATAATCTTGTTGATGGAGTATGACTTTTTTCTTATCAGAGATTCAGAAGAAGACTGCTCTTGAAGTTGTGAATTTTATGGTGGAAGGTCTAGCCTTGCATGGTTTCCAAGAACGTTTGTGTGCATGATGATTTTTGCATAATTTATGAATAGATAGATCTTTCCCTTGGTGGATACGAGTTTTACCTGAAAAGTCGATGATTCCGTGGCAAACAGATGTGAGAGATGGTATAAGGAATGGTGATGAATTACTTTCCAACGGTCCGAACAACCAATGTGTATCAAGATGAACTATGTCACTCAAAAAGAGAGATTAGAAGGGCACCAGAGTGTTTTTCGGTGTAACTCCTCCGACGATCAAGTCAATATGTGAGAATGGGGGTAGGAAACACTGTTCTATTCCTTGGGTGAGAATGTGCGTACCTTTATTTTGAGTTTGTGAAAGCAATTTATACCTTCGTGGAGCTAATTATTGCAGACAGACGGATCCCTTGGGAGGAAGTCACCTCATTGACACATATGGAAGGTGACCTGTGAAGTACAGTCTTTCAGGAGTGTCTTCCTTGTCATGTAGAAAGAAGTTTTTGCATTTAATGCTTGGATCCCTGAGCTTTTAATGCTCTTCTTCTGAGATTAGTCGAGCAATAAATGTGTCACATCCTTTTGAAGGGTCATTTAATATTTTCTTGGGGTGGCTGCATACGCGCAGGGGCACTTTTGTCCATTGCTTCACAATTCTGTGCTCTACACCTCGTGCATCACTATTATTGGTTACTGATTTTTCCTTTCTGCAACTCGGATTGCCTTGGGAAGGGAAGCCTATGACTGGCATCCAACTTCACTTCCAAGTTACGATAATCGTCAAAATTACTATTCCTACTTCGCCGGTGTGGAAGATATAAGCTGAGGGCACGTGTCACCTTGGCGATGCTCTAGGTTGCCAGCTCCAAGGACACGTGTCAATTGCACAGAGCTCCGAGGAATTTATGCTGAGGACACGTATCAATGTATGCTATGTCTGGGGTACCTTCAAGTCGAGGCCACATGTCGCTCTCAGAGCAATTGAAGGGTTACTCATGCCAAGAACATGCATCGCTCGAGGGAGTGCTCACATCCCTCATGTCGGGGACACGTATCAGCTTCTTGTTAACTCTCAGAAATGTCCCATCAACTACCCTGCAGCCCTTGACCTTTGTATGGCGAAAGTGACGTGGCATGAGAAAATGAAAGGGCTTGATCCCTACTCCTACGTTCAGCCTCTTTCCCTTCTTTGGGGTTCGTGCCTCATTCAACGCGCCTTTTCTTATTCATCGTGTGCAATCATGGCGTCGGTCCTTATTCAAACAAAGCTCTTGTTCCTTTCTCCATTTTTGCCAACTTCGTGAGACAGGAGACCTTCGCCAGAGTCCAGTTAGAGAATCCATAGTTCATCTTAAAAGCCATCAAATCCTCAGCATCCACTGAAAACCCACCAACCTCTCCTCTTCATCAGAGTTGTGCTCATTGGTGAGTTTTTGTCCTTTTTTCTCTCTATCTTTCCATTTGTGGCCACTTTCCCTATGTTCTTCCTCCTTCCTATCCTAGCAACACTGTTCCTGACCACCTGATCTCATTCTTCTTCCTTTTTCCTTCATTACGTCCTCAGTAGTGACCCTTAGGCCCCCCATCCTTAGGAAGCCTCCCTTTCTAGTCTGTTTTCTGCTAAAACCATGCCAAGACTTTGTCGGCGTGAGAACGTCAGGGCTGATGAGGTAGTTCCCTTAAGGCCAAGAAAATATACGGTTAAAGGCCACCAATAGATCACTAACTTTAAGACCCACTACTCCATCCTTGTTGAGATCACTGTGAATGAGTTCATTCCT